AAAAAAAAAAAAACCGCACCGCGCTGGGAGCCCGGCCGGCCTCTCCCCTGCCACCGGCGGGCAGCCCTCGCCGCGATGCCTTTGCACCGCTCGCACCGTGCGGGATTCTCACCGGGGGGTTCGGGTTCCTCTCCGCCACGGCGCTCCCAACGATGTGCTGGGTGAGCGGTGCCCGGCCCCACCCCCCCGTCCCTGAACCTTTCATCCCTCTGCCATGGCTTTAAATCGTCACTATGACTGCAGAATTACAGCGAACGCCTAGTGGCCGTGCTAGAACCAGAACGCCGTGCGTGCACGAGACCGCTGCCTCTGGAGAGCCCGAGGTTGTGAGCGAACACCGTCATCCTCGCTCTACAGGAAGGGCGCTGAGGCGATGTGACACATCTGCCTGCAGCTCTGGTTGCGCCTGGGCTTGAACTGGGCGTCCCTGAAATCACATCGGCCTCTCGGGGCTTCTCCTAGGTGTCCTGGCTGCCCGCTGCCCGCTCCCTGGAGGCATCCAAGGTCAGCCTGGGTGGGACTGAGCATCTGATGGAGCTGTTCACTGCAGGGCAGTTGGACTGGATGACCCTTAGGGGTCCCTTCCAACTCAAATGGTTCTATGGAATAATGAGAGGAGAGCATGAAAGCATGGGCATTGCTCCCAAAGGAGACTGATACAACAACAGAGCAGAAACCCCCCAGAAGTCTCTTAGAGGTTTCATCATTTCAAGTTAGAACTCTTCTGACCAAAACAAAGCAACTGAAGACTCATGAGAGCAGGGTTCACATTCGGATTGGCCTCTTGTGGTGCACTCAGCTTCCAATTTCCCCTCCAAGAGAAAGGGAGGGGAACTCCCTCACTATCCTCGTGGGGAATCTGCTTTAGCAGGTGTTGGACTTGATGATCTCCAGAGGTCCCTTTCAACCTTTACAATCCTGTGATGAACTTAAGCAGGGTCGTCAATCACTATTCCTAAAGATTGATCCATGGTATTCACAGGCACTGCTGGGCCAGGTACACTGGGCCCTGCTGGCCCCAGGTAGGCATGGCCAATTCCTGTGCAGACAGTGAGCAGAATAAGTTAGCAGCTGTGCTGGGATGTAACTATGAAAGCCGTGTTCTGGTTTGGTTTATTAATTTGTGTTTTGTTTGTTCTGTTTTGTTCTCCAAGTAAGAAACACTCCCTTCACTGCAAGGCATGTTTCATCCTGTGATAAGTGATCTTAAATACCCCATAACTTCTAGCACTCTCAAATACCAAAAGAAATCACCATGATTTATGAAAGACCGTGCCTGTCTCATTGCTTGCTCTTGGTCAATACCATGCAACAGTCAGCAGCCAGCTTTGGGTTGTGAAGTTTGGGGTGAACATTGCTCCAGCTGACGTCCAGGAGTTCTATGACTGCACTTCCAAAGTATTCCTTTTATATTTGTGCCCTTTTGAAGTCCATCTCTGCTTGCGAGTGCTAAAATGAGAGTCACTGTAAAATCACTGTTCATCTTCCTTTGGTCAGCTCCCTTCCATTGCAGCACCTTGCAGATACCAAGGTGTAGGCTTGCTATGCTTCAGTATATGCTGGAATATCTGTCTGGGAAGTCTCTGTTTTTCAGGAACACATTTGCTCCTCAATCACAAATTCATTTAGGAAATTCCTTCACAGTGGGGCAGACACTACCTGACAGCTTGTGAAATGTTTCCATTCCTGGGCAGGGTAACACAGTGGAGAATTCCCTCTTGTCCTCCACTGACAAACCAGCATGTGGGCAGAGCAGGCTTGAACTAATCTGTATGCAGGAGGAAACAGAAGGCAGAGGAGGCGCTGTGGATGTCAACTCTTCTGAGAGACAAGCTCTTATATTTATCTTCTGTGAGAGCCTTCTGCAAGAGAAAAAAAAAAGAAAAAAAGATAAAAAAAGAAAGAAAGAAAAAAATTCCACCTAGAAAAAAGAGAAGACCAGTGTGCTGCTGGAGATACGCTTTGTGTCACCTCTTCCACTTCTTTCTTTTCACTCTTGCTCTTCTTCTGACCAGGAGGCTCAGAAGGAGGGGTGCAGGTGGTGCCAAGCAGTGCCCTTTTGATGGATGCATCCTGCAATGATTCAGTGATGCGTGTGGGTTCCCCACAAGCCATGACTTGAGCTTCTGTTGGCTGCCCTGTAGGCTGCTCTCCTGGGAAGGCTATGGAAATGCTTTGTGTGGCTCCAGAGGAGGACCCAGTAACATCGCTAGGACCCAGGAAGGTTCCCAAAGGAGTGGCAGAAAGATGCACTTTTGGTAATTCTGGAGCCACGTCCCAGCATAAAACCTCTTCAAGCATAGAGAGAAAACTGTGTGTATCACAGGATACAGATGTGCAGAGATGACAGCCAGATGCGCCTTAGTGAAGCTAAGGAACAGTCGTGACTGTTTCGAGGAGAGCAAACAACCTCATGTACTTGGCATTTTCCCCTGGAAACCATGCCAAGTTCTGCTCTTCAGACAAACAGAGATTTTCTTCTGTTTGTACTGGCAGATTATGCTCACAAAGAGCTTTCAACTTTGAAGGAAAATATTTAGGACCAATGCCAAGCAGCATCTTTAGGTAGCCATTAGGCAGCAGGAGTTCAGGCTGCCAGGTGTGGAGATTTAAAAGCCTTGCCCAGGTCCAGAGAGGGATCCATAGGGCAGGATACCACACTGTGCTGCTCTCTCCTTTCACCACCACTCCTGAGCCATCCCACCAACAGAGGGCAAAGCCTTCAGCATTGCCTCTTACACATCAGCTGGTTAGATGTATGCTTTAAGCATCACCCAGCAACTAATAGACAACCAGGTGGCAGGGGGTTGGAACTTGATGTTCCTCAGGATCCCTTCCAACTCAAGATATTCTATGATTCTATGAAGTGCATTGGTTGAAGATCAGGTTTGAACGCAAAAGGCCAAACTGCCAAGAGGACGCAATTAAATATGTTGCTGATTGCCATGGATGGTTACTCCCTTCTATCTGAGCAGGATCCCCTAGTGAGCAGAAAGGGTTGTGTGAGTGATCCTCCCCTGCTCTCATGCAAATTAGCCATCCTCGTGCAATTTGCAAATGATGTTGGGTTAAGGAACTTTGGCTGACGTTGCACTGAGGCTGGTCAGGGAGCAGCAGCCAACTTGTGGGACGCCTTTAGCCAGCACTGCATGGGGGATGATAAACCATTTCCTTTCAGTCATGCACTCCTACTCCAGGATCAAGGCAGCAGAAGTGGCTGACACAATTTCCATTTTAAAACAGTTTACAACAGTTTAAGCCCTGCCTGTTCCCATTTAAGAGCATTTAAATAAGTTAGCATCTGCTTAGATAAAATGTACCTTAAGTTCATACCTTGGTTAAAACTGGGTGTCTTCCTTAGAATCATAGAGTGTCCTTAGAATCATAGGGTGTCTTCCTTAGAATCATTAAAGTTGGGAAAGAACACTAACATCACCTGAGATCACTAAGATCAACCGTCTGCCCACAGCTAATACTGCCCACTGCCCACATCCCTCAGTGCCACATCCCACGGCTCTGGGACTCCTCCAGGTGACCCCAGCGCTCCCTGGGCAGCTGTGTCAGTGCAGAATCACTTCTGGAGAAGGAATTGTTCCTAGCAGCCAACCCGAACCTCCCCTGGCACAACGTGAGGCCATCCCCTCTCGTCCTATGGCCGTTCCCTGCCAGCAGAGGCCGACCCCGCCTCACACAGCCTCCTTTCAGGGGGTTGCAGAGAGCCATGATGTCTCCCTTGAGCCTCCTCTTCTCCAGACCGAAGAGCCCCGGTTCCTCAGCCGCTCCCCATCACACTTGTGCTCCAGACCCCTCACAGCCCCGCTGCTCCTCTCCAGACTCTTGCCTAGAGGAAGGCTGCCATTTCTGTCCTATCTGAAAGCACTGAGGAAATGCCTGTACTTACACGCTTTGGGAAAACTGAGGGTTTCAAGGAGTGAACCATCAGGACCACATCTGCTGAACACGCAGAACTTGCCATGACATCTACTGCTGCCCAGGACCCCGCAGCATCCTGCCAGAGGCAGCACCAGGGCATTTTGGGGCTGTTCCTGCCTGGCTGAACACCAAGCACAGGGAGATTGGCCTCTTCTGGGCTGAAGAATAGGGAAATGCCTATGGGAAAAGTGAAGAGAATTACTCCAAGCAGCACATCAAACTGGGGCACCAGGTCTGCTCCCAGTGCACACACGTGTCTGTAATCGCTGCTTTGCTTCTCCTGGAGCAGGCAAAGGGCATAAGCTCTTCATCTTTCAGCTGTTTAGCAAAATAAACAAAGCTGTGACAGAGCTGACTTCTGGCTTGCCTTCTCTCAAGTTTTATTTTTTCTGTTGTTGTTAAAGGAGCCCAGTATCTTTTGGCTTTCTTACTCCATTTTCCTTCTCTTAGAATCTCCCAAACCTTTT